AAATCATCCCTCTCTCAGACATTTTCTCAGCCTTTCAGGTAAAACAAACTGAATAAAAAAATTTTCACTGGATAAATAGCATTACTAAATAAATGAGTAAAAAGAAATAAAAATGTTCCCACCACAAAAAGCTGTGTGGTCTGGGAGGTCTGTAAAACAATGGTTTCCAAATTCAGTCCTAAGGGCTGCTAACTTACATTTTGAAATTGCTTTTCAAGAAAGAAAAACAGCAACAGAGGATTACAAATCTAAGATCAGTCAGAAGGTTACTTGTTCCAAAAGGAACAACTAACTAGCAGCTTCCTAGAAATAGAAGTAGAAATTATAATATTTAACATTGAAATGTCAAAAATAAATACTCAAGTAAAGTAAAGATACTTTAAAAAACTACTTATTAAAGTAATCAAGTAAATTCACTCTCTAAACCATTCTATACAAATTCTTCTCAAAGCGTGTCAAGAAAAACAAAACAAAAAAAGAAAGAATCGTTTTTGCCTTAATGATTCAGAATAAAACGACTGAAATAGGAATTGCTAACTCTATGATTTGCCCATTGATACTCTTCCAGATATTCCATTATGGACCCTTAGACAGATAACAGTTGACTTGCATTTAATGGAGAAAGAAAGAGAGATAGGATTTAAAGAGGTAGACTAATACATAGAAAGTATTAACAATATTAAAGTCTTTATAGATGTTTCTATAGTGAAAAACGATAAAGTTGGCATAACCTTTGAGGTTCTAGATTTGGATATAACGAAGAATTAAAGAATACCAGAAAAATTAACAGCGTATACAAGATAATTAATGACAATCTGGATAGCTTTAGAATGGGTCGGTGAAAAGTGTTCAAGAGACTCTTTCAGACTCAAGACAGGAGTCACGAATCTATATAGAAATAAAAATAAACTAATTATAAATTACTGCAAAGAGCATCCGAGACAAACTTTTTGATTATATTTCTATTATATTTTTAAAAGAACAGGTATTTTTTTTTACATGTATAAACATTTTTGTTAATAAAAATAGCCACAGAACAAGATACAAAAAAGTAACAAGGCATACCAGAGAGAAGGGTAGCTATATTTTGATTTTCAATACAGATGAAAACATACAGATATAATAAGATATAATTAAATTTCTTTGTGCAAAAATAAAAAAAGGTAAGGATTATGATAACTTACATGTATGAATAAGAATTTTGCCAAATATTGTGATCAGATTAATCCCCAGTCTCATATTTATATTAG